TACTGGATACGAACTTGAGACAAGTTCTTTTATTACTACTATGGATCTATGTGTCATATTCTAATGACTTATCATCGTATGTTGCAACGCTTTAGACATAGATCTCTTAGAGTCAAACTCCAAAACAGAGTATACCTTCCTTCATGTTCTAATGTGATACAATCACATTTCAGTATGTAGCATTTCTAGCTACCAACTTCTTTAACAATCATCTCAATACTTCTACTGATCGCCCTGGGTGAGCTTTCATTTCAATCTTTTGGTTTAAGTTTGATGCTACATCGAACTTGGTTCTCTGAACCACATAGCATACTCATCGTATTCGGACTCAATTTGATATGACCACTAGGTTCAGAATAACAACAATCTTCTTAGTCATTACCGAAACGATGGTAACGACATGCTTGAATAAAACAGACTCAATTATTGGCTTCTTGGTAACCTTGTGACTTTCCCTGATCCAAGCGTGAGTCATGTGCTTCCGGTAGTATATGCATCTACTACTTTTCACACCTACTCATACTCGTCCGACATATTGTCTCGCAGTTTTCCAAGTTACCATACAGGAAAAAGCACATAACAGTTTAACACATCAGATAACAAAACGAGGGCTTTATTATTTCTCGAAATGTAGGATGTATTAATTTTTGCAACCTGTTGGGGAACAAAAGGTCGTACCCGTGACGCCTTTAGCGGCGACGAGTTGGAGAGAAAATTACGCACATTTTTTTCGTTAGTTTTAGCGGCGACACTATCTTTGCAACTGGAGTTGTCGCAATTGATATGAACTATAACTAACCGTTGTCGTTGGATACGGATGAAATCGTAGGGCTAGGACTTGATCTGGAGGCATTCACACGGACCGCCAGTAACACCCATTAGCGATGTCGGTATTAGCGTGACCGAACCCTTTAGCGACGACCAAAACCTGTGTAGTCTAATGTCGTCTCTAAAACTACCTGTCGTCGCTAATGGTGTCGTCCCTAAAGTAAATATTTCTTGTTTTGTTGGGACTATTAAATGAACAATTTACGTTTCATATGCACCGGGCGAAGGAAGTGGCAAGAGTTACAAAGATTGTGGCAAGAGTTACAAAGATTGTGCGTAATTTTCTTTTGATAGTCTATGATTTTCCATTTTCCACAAGTAGTTTTTTTAATGTTTCCAGTTAATTTTCATATTTTTTTTCTTGGTATACCTCTTATAAGGCTAAGGGGTATTGTTACCACCAACTTACTCAAAAAGTCACGCCACATCAACGCCACATTACCTCCATTACAAACTCACTACTAACCCATTAACTCTTGGAAATGGTTACCACTCAACATCATTTTTATTTTTCTTTTTTATATATTTTTTTGACAATATTAGCTTAAATTAAAAAATAATTATTAAACAAAAATAAAAACATAAATATTAATTAAAAGCATTTTACATTAATTTAAAAAGTAGAAAATTTAAAAGCTGCAATACTTAGAAAAACATAATCATTTAAAACCTAAATTACTTAAAAAAACCATATAAAAATATTACTCATCGTCCTGCTCGTCGTCATCCTCGTCGTCATCTCCGTCGTTGTCAACGTCATCGTGTTGCCTTTGTCATATATGCTCAGTCAAATCATAACATAAATTGTGATGTCTTTCACTATTTTGTATTTCCAAAACTCGTATGAAGTAGCAGGGCTGCCGACTTGTATTACTGCAGGTGGGTTAAGAATATCTTCCAGATTATACATACAAATAGCCTTGCCCTCTTCTTGAATTACCATGTTATGTAAAATAACACAAGCAGTCAACACCTTTGTCAATTTCGCCCTATCCTATGACCGTGTCGGATGTTTGATAATGTGCCACTTTTGTTTGAGGATCCCAAACGTCCGTTCCACATCCTTCCTTGTGGATTCTTGTGCTAACTTGACCAATTTTCGTTTTTCATCGGCCGGAAATGAGTACGACTTGACAAACGTAGCGTACTCTGGATATATCCCATCATCAAGGTAATACCCATAATTATATTGATGTTCATTGACAACAAACGGCATGTTTGGTGCTTTACCCTGCAAAATATCATTAAATATCGGAGAGGCTCCAAGCACATTCAGGTCGTTGTTTGACCCCCGCTATGCCAAAGAATGCATGCTAAATCTATAGGTCATGTGATGCAACGGCCTCTAGTATAATAGTCAGGACGCCTTGATCACCTCGTGTGAATTGACCTCGCCATGCATTGGGACAATTTGCCCACTCCCAATGTGTACAATCAATACTGCCAAACATTCCTAGTAAGCCATGTTTAGCTTCATGTGCGGCATACAATTATTCAATATCATTTCTAGTTGGATGTCGCAAATATATGTCACCATAAAGCTCTATGACATACTTACAAAAAAGATAAGCACATTCTCGTCCATTCCTCTCAGACATTTTCAGATACTCATCTGAAGCATCTGCTGCTATGTTGTATGCCAATTGTCTAAGGGTTGTTGTGCATTTTTGTAGGGTACTAAAACCACGTTTACCTCTTGCATCCCATCTTAATTGGAAAAACTCATAATTGTTTTCCAAATCTCTAGCAATACGTAAAAATAAATTTCTACTAATACAAAATCGGTCTTCAAATTTTGATAGGTCATACAAACTATCAGGGGCAACATAATCATGTACCAAAAGCTCGTGTGACGCCATACGATCCTGATATATCGAAATTTTATGCCTCTTCTCGGTATTTGAACTTTCACCTATTTTTTGCACCCTATTGCGTGCCGCAGACAACAACTTGTGCAACACCAAGTCATCTTCATCAGAGTTTTCATCATCGGATGAAGAAGAAACAATCGAACCCGCAAAATTATTCATATCTATGTTTGAAAGTGTGAATGGAAATGTGTTTGTTTATATGTTGTGTATGTATTTATATGTGTATTAAGTTTTGTTTGTATATACATATATATATATATATATATATATATATATATATATATATATATATATATATTCGTAATGGTCAAAATAAAAGAAAGAAAAAGAAACGGTTAAAAAAATGGTCCACCAATCGCATTCGTCGTCTTCCTCCGTAGCCAGCTTCATGTCACAAGACACCTACCCCATTGGGGCGGTGTTCACGCATGGCTAGGGCTGCTACGTAGGCAGCACGTGGAGCCTTCCTGACTTGATACCGAATAACCTAACAAATACCTATGCATCGGAATCTTCATCACCTCAAATCAACATTAATCATCAACAAACTTTCGTAGCTGCTCCACAAGTTTCAACTATTGGCACACAAGTCCTAGCCGTTGCTACACCATCACCAATAGTGGCTACCGAGAAGGAAAATGAAGGGTCAATTTTATTTGATAATTTATTTCATTAACTTTGGAAAATATTAGTAATGTCATCATACATATACATTACTCTTAATTTGAAAATTATATTTTTTTTATGTAATGGGTTATCTTTATTTGTATCTGTAATACTTTTTATGTATTATGAGACATGTATTATGCATATTTTGTATGTGACAAACTATATTTTTCATGTAATGGATTATCTTTATTTGTATATATGATACTTTTTATGTGTTATGAGACATTGACTATGCTTGATTTTGAATATTAATATATTTAGAAAATATATATTTTATAAAAACATAAACATCATGACGCAAACAACGAATGTATTAAAAGATCAGGATTTTTTTTTAAATGTGTCAAAAATTATGAAATGCGAATGGTTCGTCGTATATATGTGTGAAGTTTACTACGATAGATGCTTGTTGTCTATTTTTATGACAAAACTTTCAATGACAAACATTGTTTGACATCTATGCCATTTACGGTAGATAATGACTGTGTCGTTAAAGATTTTTTTTTTTTTTTTCTAATAAGATTTGGAGTTTAATGACCTTTGAATTTTTTAATAGAAAAAATTCCAACTTTTAAAATTTATTTAAAATATGTCATACTGAATTTAATCGAATTTAATAGAGTTTAATGAATTATATAGTTTAATGTTAAAATAGGATGAAAATTGAAATATTTGATGTAACAATACATATAAACTGTTATATAGACCAAACAATAAGTCCATGTCTTCATGGGAAATTTGGAAGTTCGCAAATGGACTACAAAGGTAATTCAATAGTAACTGATGCTAGAAGGTGAAGCCATCATGGTGATATGGGAAAACTAGAAGTTCAAAATGGCCTCATTTTTAAAGGCTTCAAAGGAAGCAGGGATCACATTTTATTCAATTGTTTCACCCAAGGGGTAGTCACTTACAAGCAAGGTGACCCACCTAATTTTTTAATATTATATAGTATTTATATATAAAAAAAATAGAAACCACCTTTAAAACAAATTAGGAACTATCTAATACTATTTGACAGAATAACAAAACAATTAAATAAAAAATAATGACGGATATATATTTAAATTTCAAAGCAAACTTTAATACTTTCAAAACATATCTCACATCAAAGATAAAAAAAGAGATGGAGTTGTTTGATGTTATAGAAATAAATTATAAATGGTTATTAGGAAATTTAAAAAACAACATAATTCCTCTTATATTATTGGTTATACAAAATGATTGTTGCAAACAACCTTTTTAAAAAGGAAAGAGACTCGGTCGTACATAATTGTTTTCTTTTTGTGTTGCAAAAATCAGGTTTTAAGGTTGAGTAGGCTGATTTTACCAGTTTTTTGTTATTCTAACGATCTGGCTGAACTCGAGTTTTTACAAATCGGTCTTTTTTATTGGTTCGACCCGACGCGATATGTTATATATAATGTTGACTCTTTGGCTTTTTCTTCTGCACTTAATTAGATACCCGTGCATTTCTATTCTAAATTCACCACTTCTATCACCATTATCTTGCTTTTATTGAATGCCGTCTAAAAAAAAGTCCATGCCTTTGGTGTTTTACCTTTTATTTAGCATTTTCAAGATTAGAAGGAAAGTCTATCCTTGTTTCTCCACGTAACTATAAGTGCATGTGTTATGTATGTTACCTTTTCAAGCCATTAATGAGTGATTTTAAGTCATTAATGAGTTCTTGTACAAGCGTTTCTTATATACATCACTTATCATATTTGAATAGATTTCATATATCTAATATATATGGTAAAAGCAACTTTTTAATTATTTCAATATAGGACTAATTCTACTGTTCTAGTGCTATTAATTGTATAACCCTTTCTCAGTATGTTACATCAAAGAATAAACTCGGATCTTATGAAATGTAAAGTACTTCTCATACTAGTTCATCACGTACTGATAGAAGATGTCGTTTCGAACACCAGCCATGATAGATTTTCACTTCATGCATGCTTCTCGCAGATCATATTGTCTAGTCCTAGAATACGTGTCAATGAATGACATGAATTTGAATGTATTCTAAATGTTCTTACAGTTTAATCCATTCATTTCCATCAACGTATGAGATATTCATGAAAGGAGATGCATCTGCTAGGGTCAGTTGCTTTGCGTATTTAACCCTAGAATGGCTTGCTGCTCCTGGACCCGAGCACCCATACTCCCCAAAGAAAACAGTCCTGAAATTACATTTGAACATTAAACAAGAAATGTTAGTAACATCGATAAACATAAGAAACAAAAGGTGTAGAAAGACTAAATTAAAATAGCCATAACTGATCTCTTTTGGGGTCTCTCCAGTCATTCCATCCATCAGGAGAAACAACTTCAGACATGAAAGTTTTTGAGAATACGATAGTTGAATATAAACCCCAAGCTCTACCAAGCCACACCTTACCTTTTCCTTGTATCTTACAATTCACAAACGAAAACCCGGTTTTCTCTTTAGTCGACTCCCTCTTTTGTGCTGCTATAGCTCCAACAATCTTACTATTGACTAAAGAGATAATTGTACAATTCTATAACATAAATAAATAAAAAACGAGTTAAAAACATGTAAATCTTTTCATCCAGGTTTTCTTGAAGAAGTGATAATAATTATTACCTCATAGACTGATCTAGCATTCCCAAAGATAAAGTCAACTGTTCCTTCGATATAACATTGTTTGAAATAATGTCTTCCTTCAGCATCATTAAGAGTGTCTTGAAATCCATGAAACCCGCAGTTATAGAAAGCCGCTTGGTCACCTGCAATTCTCAGTGCCAAAGCTTGTGCTCCGATTACACCTGCCTGTGGACGAGGAGCTGTGTTCTTCGCCATCAGAGAACAAACTAAGCATTAATTTTAAAAAGAAAAAAAGAAACTATGTTTTAAACTTCCATTATATATGTTTAATTTAATTGCATTACCTTGAAGCCGATGTCGTAAGCAATGAAATTTTTACCATAAATGCAAACTGTGTAGCTGTAGATAGTTCCGTTGCTTGAAGCAGCAGTGTCATTCCACACGATCATTGTCTTGAGACGACCCTGGCCTTGAATTATCAAATTAGTCTTCTTCTTGCTCACCAACACTTTCTCCCTGCCACAACAATTAATAGCATGTTCTTGGATTTTAAATGCACATTGAACACGGCTTATATATAAAGGCAAAGATTGCATGATCAGGACATTACTTGTATGTGCCCGAATCAAGAATGATTAATGATTTTTTCTGGCTTTCTTCTGGAACAGCGTCCACTGCCTTTTGTAAGCTTTTGAATTTCCCACAACCCAAATGATCAACGGTCAGAACTAGCTCGACCTTGTACTTCGATATGAGTGGAGACTTCCACTTATTGTCATCACAAGTGGCCTTACCACCCATTGTTGGGCCAAGAATCCGGCTTACGAAATAAAAGATCTCAGAAATTCCAGTTTGCTCATAAACTCTTTTGAAACTAGAAAAGACTTCACTTCCTGTTGAAAAGATAATACTGCTTGATTTGGTGTAAAAGGCGAGTTTGATGAAAAGGATAGCAATGGCAGTTGCTAATGACCAAAATAATAATCTTTTGGTATTCATGGCTTTGGATTAAAGGGTTGTGGTATTTTGACTAAAGAACTATTGTCGGATATATATATATATATATATATATATATATATATATATATATATATATATATATATATATATATATATATATATATATATATATATATGTATGGCTACGTTATAATGTGTATGGAAAATTATTATGTGGACGTGTGAATAATGCTATTTTTAGAGAATTTCTAAAAGAATATGTTGTTTAATAATGTGAATAAGTTCAATCTCACAGAACTATTGTTACTTTAATGAATTCTTACTAATTCTAATTCATTTTTGTTCTCATGCATCGTTTTTCATTTATTTACATTCTTATAGAATACGACTCAATAAATATTTTGACGCTGACTTGGGGAATACTAGATTTTAATGACCAACTCGTCGAGTGTGGGTCATCCAACTCGTCGAGTTGAGTTGTTTTTAGAATCTATTTATAGATTGTTTTCATTTGAAACCCTAACGTTGGTTGAAGGCTTTTAGCGACTTTTGGAGGCCAAAGACATTCTCAAGAAGCTTTGGAACTCAGAATGTGACTAGATGTTAATTTAGAAGAGATCAAAGGCATTAAACCATTACTTTTCTCTTAATCTTTGTGTGAATCATGTTTGCAACATTAGATTTCGACTTTATGATGTTATTTGCTGAATTTATGGGCTAAAATTCCATACATTTATTTAGACTAGATTATCTTATGAATATGGTTTGATTAGTGGCTTTGGATTATATAGAATTGGTTATTTATCTTGTCAAGCTTGTTAAAAAGATCGTTATGTGTTGATGATAATTATTTCCTGTTAATAACTAAGTATATTGAGTTGTAAGAACATCTACTTGATTGCTTGAATCTTATGGTTTTGTGAAAACAAGATTGTATGCCTAGTGTTGTGAACATGACCTAGGGTTAACTAGAAATAAATAAGTTAATGTGAGAGCATGTATGATGACCAACCATATATGAGTTAATTGAACCAACCAATTTGATTAACTAATATTATAAGTCTTACTTGATTCGAATTGAACACTAGGAAACTTGTTAGTTTAATCAACTGATCATTGTTTGAATTAACTTGTTTGCTAAAGGATTAGTAATAGTGAACATGAGCCTAATCACATTACAAATCTGTAACCACTGACATATTAATCTATTGTACTTGCCACAAAATGAACAATAGGAATAAGTGAGTCGAATCTAAACATAAGTCTCTTTTATCTTATTGAATCTAGTTTTCATTTGCTTCTCTTTTAGTTGTTAATTGTTCTTTGTTTAAGTGCTTAGTAATTGCTTAAGTTTCTAGTCTTACGAAACTAGAGAAAACCCCTTTTTAATATTTGTTTTAATAAGATAATATTAATATTAATTTTAATTATTTACTGTTCCCTGTGTTCGATACCCTACTTACTTGAACTGTATTGCTAATCGATAGGTATACTGTCTTTCGTGTGTTTGCTTTTGTGTTTATGTTAGTAGGATTAAAACTACACGTATCACATATATAATTAATCATATTGTGAGCAGACATATATGTATAATCATTTACGATTAGTCATATATGAATAAACTGTTGGATTAGTGTTTAAGTCTGTAACTATATTTGGTATGTACTTGACCCGGTTGTGCATGGTCCTTTTGGGTTGCCTTTACCGAAGCAACTTGACAAGGTAATTTGAGGAGAGAGAGAGAGGAAGAGAGAGAGGATATTATGGTTTATTAATATATTGTAAGAATACTATATTAAAGGAGAAATCATATTTATTTAATTAGTATTGGTCATAAATTAATTAGAAATTAATTTGGTGACCAAAAGAGATTAATTAAATAAAGGGGCATAAACTATCAAATGTATGATAATTGAGTTTTGGGCTAGGAATCCTAATGGACCAAGGGGGAACAAAATTATGATGAAAGATCATCATATTTTCGTCAAAGGGCCTTATTCCAGAAGGTTCCTTGGGCTGCTTGGTGGCTAAGTTATCTATTAGGGTTTAGACTGAAACCCTAGCAGCTTGCACTATAAATAAGACCCTAAGGCTTCAATTTTCGGCACTTGCTTCTAAGAGAAACCCTAGGGCCGAAAATTAGCATCCTCCCTCCTCTTTAAAGTTGCCTTTTTGCTTGTGGTGTTTGTGATCCACTAGAGAAGTTACAATTGTGACTCTAAGCTCAAGAGAAGAAGATTTAAGCCACTATTTGAAGAGGTAAACATCTAGATCTGATGTAATTAGCTAATTTCGAAATTATGTATACTAGATTAGGGTTTGCAAGTCTTGGATTCATTGCATGTACAATAGAGAAACTTAGATCCAAGCATTAGGGTTTGTATGAGCACATAGGGTTGTTCTTATACCTAAAACTCATCAGTGGTATCAAAGCCTTGATTGGTTTCAATTGTATGTGATGTTATGATTGATTATCTACTAAAAAAATGTTTTCTTGCCTTCTGTTCAAACTGACTCGGCGAGTCACTTCATGGACTCGGCGAGTCAACCCAACTCGGCGAGTCCAGTGAGTGACTCAGCGAGTTGGAGCATCAGACAGAGGGATTTTCGGATTTTCTTGTTGTTTTGCTGAAGGATAATTGCCTTATAAGTATTTAACGGATAAGATTCGAATTTTATTGTTATTGTAAGATTATCCTTGCCAAAACACAAGATAATTACCAATTGATTACATAATAAATTCCTTATACGGTTAAAATTGATTATTTGAATTAATTTGGTAACTTAACTTGCAAGAATTAGGTCAAATATAGATAATCACTAAATTAATTGTTTGATTTATATTATTTGTTATTTGATCCCTTGTATTTTGAAAAGTTAAAAAATTGCCGTCAAGTTTTGAAATTTAAATTCTTTGCATTAAAAGTTTAATTATTGAAAAGTTTTAAATTTCAACCCTTAGATTTTTACAAGTTTATATATATATATATATATATATATATATATATATATATATATATATATATATATATATATATATATATATATATATAAGAATAAGCTACTCTTATCGCTAGTAGGCCTCATTCACGAAGTCGATCTATAAGGTGGTATAAGATTGCTGCCTATAAAATGGCGCTTAATGGGTGTACACTCACACCCACCGGTTGCTTGATTGGTGGAGGGTCATTAGCCGAACAAATAGGATAGGGCACTTAATACCTCATTATAAGTATAATAAATATTGCAAAGTAACTAACATGTTTTTACAAATTCCCAATCTTAGTTACTTTAGGGTAAAATGTGAAGATGATGTTATTCCATGGAATTACACTTTGTACCCTTGTCAAACGTTAGTGGAGCGTGCGTGGTTAACCGACACACTAATTTGGATTGACATTGGTGGCAAAGGGTGGATGGATGTTTGTCATAGATCAATGGAGCGTGCGTGGCTAACCGACACATTGATTAGGTGATAGAGACATTGAGTGCACCATGTTGATTCGCATGGTTATTCACAACTTGTTTGTGATCCTCAGCATCCCAGTTGCAAATTTCAAGTGCATATCGAGATTTAAACATGTCATTGAAAAGTTCAATGAATCTCAAAGATCTAGGAGTTTTCAAATACATTTAAAACTTAATCTCTTTTTCGTTTTTCGTTGTGAAAATTAGTGAATCGTCGTTCACTTACCTTCAAATTATATACTTTTAGAGTACGACATCCCTTTCTAAGTTGTAAATAATGTTGTTGGATCCTAGCCCTAATTTCTCATTTGGGTGTTTGATTGGGGATTCAATTCTAATCAAACTTTATTCCTTTTGTATTTTTAGATGTCTAACGCAAACGCAAACAACGCTGCTCCTGACTCATTATCGCTAATGAGCCTATGTCAAAAGGTTACATTTGATGGATCGAATTTCAACAAATGGATGAGATACATTCGCATGATTGCTCGTTACGAGGACAAAGAATATGTCCTCGACAAGAAGCTTGAAAGATCAATCCAAAAGTCACTACTCCCGAAGAATTGGCCATCTTTTAGGCCCACGAGCGTGATGCAATGAAAGTTCATTGCATTATGCTGGCCACTATGAATCTTGAACTCCAAATGTCCTATGAGGACATGTATCCGTATGAAATGCATCAAGATTTTATGGAGAGGTACCACCAAAGCGCAAGGCAATAGCGCTATGAGATCATCACCAACATGATCACCGCTAAGATGGGGAGTGGAGATTCCCTAACCTCACATTTGCAGAAGATGCAGAGGTATGTTGATCGTCTTTGCAAGTTAAGTGTTAACTTTGGGGAAGATTTGGTTATCGACATCATTCTCCACTCCTTTCCCTCGTGCTACAACCAATTCAGGATGACCTACCGTATGAATAAGGAAGAGGTCACCTTAAGCAAACTCCAAGGACTGCTGAGAGCAACCTCAAGGATAAATCTATTGCATCATCCTCTACTGTGGCTGCTCCCGTGTTGGCAATTGGTAAAGGAAAGGGTTATAAAAGGAAGGCTCCAAGTAAGAGCCACCAAAAGGGTAAGCCCCATGATGGTTCCTCTTCTAGTGGAACCAAAGTTGGTTCAGTCAAACCCTCTTCCGACCCCAAAGAAGCAGAGTGCTACTACTGCAACGAGAAGGGCCACTGGAAACGAAGCTACCCTAAGTAGTTGCAAGACATAAAGGATGGTAAGATAAAGCCCACCTTTGCAGGTATGTATTCTATTAAATCTAATAATTCATCATTTGCTACTTCATGGGTTCTTGATACAGGATGTGGTTACCACATTTGTTCTGATTTGCAAGGCCTAAGAAGACGTAGGGAAGAGGAACATGGGAAGATAAACTTGATTATGGGAAACAGAAGATAGTCGCATGTGACCAGAGTCGGAGTTTATTCTTCAGTGTTGAGTAATGGATTAGGGTTAGATTTAAATAATTGTTTCTATTCGCCAGATATGGCAAGGAACATCATTTCATTTCATGGATTGTTTAGACAAGGTTTCAGATACTCATTTGATAATAGTAATGGTTCTATTAATGTTTATTTGAATGGTGTCTTTTATTTCAA